CACACACACACACACACCCTGTCCCTCGATGGATGGCCCTGAGCTGAGCAGCTTCGAATCAGCCCTTCTGTCCACTCCAGGTTACAAGCTGCTGTGGGGCAAATCAGACCACAGGGCCCCAGACGCACTGCATCCTTGGACCTCAGTCTCCCCATCCGTGAAATGGGGCACCGTGAGCTGTGATCTCAGAATTCCCTGCTGCAGGAGCCACGCGCCTTGTTGTGAACCCTTCCATGATGGCACTGCCCTCAGCACACAGTGTGGGAACCCGTCTGGCCTGTCTGTAACCGCACGCCGGCTCAGCTCTGCAGCCCCATAGCCAGAACTGCTGGCTGGTCCCTCAGCTTAGATGACACCTCCTCTGGGAAGCCCTCCCTGGCCTCCAAGGTGCTCTTACACCCTCTGCTCCCCGCCCCCTGCAATCACACTGCCTCTCCTGGGGGTCAGAGACCAGGTCTTGCCCCAACTCCCAGCCCCGGCTGCCCCACAGCACATCTAGCTCTGAAAGTGTTTGCTGAATGAATGACTGAGTGAATGCATGAACGATTGGCTTGGGGAAAATCACTTAGAGCCTGGAACAAGCTAGAGGCATGCTCCCCCACCCCCCAGCAGGGGCCATGGGACCATGAAGGCTTCTACTACAACCCCCACTCCCTGGCTAGCTGGTCCATCCCCTCCCCACAGCAGCGTCTCCAGGTCCATCTCTCCCCTCGCTCACCCATCTCCTCTCCAGTCCTCGTAGACACTGAGCCATCTCCGCCTCAGGGCCTTTGCATGGCACCTCCTTGCAACCCCAGACCTCAGCCTGGCTGGCTCGTTGTTCAGGCCTCCTCAGAGATGCCTCTCGCTTCCCGGGCTGTGTGTATTCTCCATCCCTGTTGCGTGTGTGCCCTTTATCCCAAGTAGCAATTATGGTTCATGAATTTACCTGCTCACAGTTTTGCCGGCTATCCTCCACCACTGGATGGTCAGCTCCAAGCCAGGAGCCAGCCGCCTGTGTGCGCACCACTGATTCCCCATACCTGGAACAGGGTCTGGCACATGGTAGGGACCTAAAAATATCTGTTAAATTAATGAGTAAACGGAACCAGATCCTGCTTGAACCCTGCTAGGGACAGGCAGCTCACTACCTCTCACAGTAACCCATTTCTCTGCCAACCGGAAGCAAATTCCAGAGCTGCCTTAAATCGGCTCCCCGCCACGCCTCCCGCCCCTTCCTGTGCAGTAACAGGGGCCTTTGGAAGGAGCCCAAACACCCTCAACACCCTTCAGAGACCCAGAGACAGCAGGATGCTGTGTTCACCTAAAGGAGCTCAAGGAGGTGAGCAGGCGGCCCCTGCTTCTGACAAGCTGAGCCACATCTCTCGCAGGACGTGTCTCCCCCTCAGTTCTCTGTCTGGTGTTGGGGTTGGGGCAGGTCCACTGAGTTAGGCCTGTCTGGAGGAACAAGCTGCCTTGGCAAGGAGGTTGTGGCCCTGGGAGGGTTAGGTCCACAGGCTTCCAACACCGCTGGCTGGACAAAGATGTCAGGCCCTCAGGATGATCGAGGACAGAGTTCAAATGCCCACGGGGGCCACACGACTAATTCAGGCAGGGGGTGCAGGCAGTAGGGATGGGTGGGGTCTGTGGCCAACAGGGAAGTACATACCCCGTCGTGCTCAACTCCGTCCAGTCCAACTATGCACAGAGCAAAAGGGACCATAGGGGCAGATCCCACTGTAAAAAACGTGAAGTTAAATTGTCGGAAAGCTCTGCCTTTAAAATCTGGCCACCACAGTGAGACCTAAACAAGGCGTCGATAGATAAGCAAGATGCCCCATAGGCAACTGACTATTGGAGACCTCTCTTTAAAACCATTTTTTGCCCTGTTTTTTTCCTACTAGGACAGAGGTTATTGGTCACCCCAGAGTGGGGGGCTGCCTTTCTGCCCACCACCACCCCCGTATTCTAGCCCCTTCCTTAAGCCTGTCAGGCCCCATGAGGACCAGGCGGGCCAGCAGAGGGTGCCAGACACGGATTTTCCTTAACTCCAGGTTGCAAACCCCACTTCCAGCTCCAGGACAGAGTGGGGTTTTTGTCTCCACAGAATGACAGCCTGGGCCGGAGGCCAGAGGTGAGGCTGAGAGAATCAGGCATGGCCAAGCCCTGCCCGTCTTATGTCCTGCAGAGCCCAGCGCCTGGCGTTGGGTGGAATGAAGGTGTAATTAAACGCCACGTGGACTGGAGCAAATCACAACTTCTTTGAGCCTCAGTTTCTAATTCTGTCAGGAATGTATGGCGCCTGGGAAATGCAGTAGGGTGAGGTCCACGTGTGCCCCCGCCCCTCCCCACCAAGGCAGCCCCGGGTCAGGCCAGAGCTGCGCCCTGCCAGGCCCAGGGACAGCTCCAGCCTGGCCTGGCACAGCTGCGGGTTCCCCCACACCACGCCCAGGCCAGGGTCCCTGTGCCTCAGAGTCCCAATTCCTGCTTTGGGTTGAGTACCGGCCACCACGTCTCCCTTGGTGGCCACCATGACAGCAGGGCCACTATGTCTCAGCATGACC